CAAGGAGATAGGGACAAAATAAGCCACGTAAAGACCAACAGTATTGAACATATATAGTACTTTGATAGACAAAGACGGACAAACATGAAGATTAATCCGGATTCCGGATTAATCCTTCTTTATCTAAAGCTCACGATGGCCCCTTCGTGTCTGTTTTAGTCACATGTTCTCATAGTTGTATATGGATTGCTTTTTGTGAATCATCATGGACGTTGACGAATTCTTGCAGACAAGAATTGGTAAACAACCAGATGTCTAGAGTGGTTTGTAGGGCTAATCCCGACTTCGGACTCCTACTGAATAGCTCCCTGAATATGAAATGAGCAACAGGCGAAACTGTTCATGTAAGAGTTTACTCATCTTGGAGGGGTCTTCCATGATGTGGTTGCCCAAAACCCTGTAAAACGAAAGACTCCAGCATGTTGGTAGTAACAGGGGTCCACCTTTGAGTGGTTCTCATGGGATTGTTTTGCACCTTTACGAGTGTCTCATCGTTTCTTAGAACCTAAATGCAGAATCAATGCCAAATCAATGCTACATTGCAAAAGCAGAGTTGTACTATTCAATTCATGTCTGTCCTTGCTCAGGTGGTTATCTCTATGGTAGTGGTGTGGCCACTCTCATTGCCTCGAAAGCTCTCGGCACTACGACACGTCTGTGGCCAGTCGAAGTGATGCGGTGATACTCGTGTGGTGCTACTCTGGCAGAAGCCCAGAAGAACCATGAGCCAGCTAAAACTAGCGACTTTGCAAGGAGATATCAGATATGCTATACCCATGTAGGTTTCCCCTATGAAATGGGGGGGGTCATGGTACTCCAGAAAACGTTTCATGCCTACCCCTGTGGGGAGGTTAGGTCTTGATTTTATAGAGAAAATCTGGTTTGCAGAGAAAATCTGCGATGGAAAGAAAAAGGTAGTCTTTGAACGCAGGAAACAGAGAATCAGACATCACAAACTGAGGCGGTGGGGCCCAGCCATTTTATATATAAGTGTTCGGTAGGTCCCTCCCCCAAAGTATACTACATGGAGGGTCACCCCTCAACACGTTATATCTATAAAGTGGCTCAGGTTTCCCCTGCCCTATCCTGCACGGCTATGATATGATAAACCCGGGGAGGGATGGGTAATTAGGGCACATGGTCCCCCCCAAAGCAAAGTCATTTCCAAGCTGCAAATCCACAGGTCGGAGCTTTAAGGACGAATCAGATTCGCGGCTCCAGGCGGCTTGGAGGATTTGACATCGAAATTCAGCCACTCCCCACATCATTTCTTTGCAGACATTTCAAAACCTCATTGTCAACCATCTTTCTTTTTTGAAGATCACTCGGCTCCCACAGGTGCCCAGCTAAGCGCCCCAAACCACCATAACCATCCAGAACCAGGCCCCCCACCTTCTCCCCGGACCATAACCATACCACGCCTAAACATGCCTAAACCACCATAACCATACCATAACATAACCTATACCATAACCAAAATGGACCACCATATCCCTACCGCGCCTCCGAGGTGTGCTGAGCGTCCTAGCGATCTCATTGACCGCCTTGGTGGTCGCGCTGAAGACGCCCAGCTACGCGCGGCTCGGGACACCGGCGTCGCGGACGTCCGCGGGCGAAAGAGTGAGAGAGAATGTGAGATGGATCGGCAGTGTAATGAAAAAACATGAATGGATAACTGTTATATTTGTTTCAGTGATATTCAATAATATTGTTATACCATCATAAGTATATTATATATATATGTATATATTATGTTGATTGTGCATCTGCATGCATGCATCGGATATTATTCTATTTGAGAGTTTTTGAGCAATCTGAAGACCACTGCTCCTGCAAAGATGCTTGACATGGTGCGCATTATGTTTTGTTTGAGTGTGGATGTGTGATGCAGTAAGATGCCAACCGCCCAGATGACGGATGTTGATAGCGTGTGGGGTTATAGGTGTTAGGGCTTCTACAGCCACGTTGTGTTCCACAGGTTGGTCATGTTCTTTTTTGAGGAACCATGGAACCTCCCACTTGATGAGCTTTAACCTTCTATTGCTCCCGTTGGTTGTGGTTCATGTCTCCTGTTCGATGACAAACCCATTCGGTCAATTGCTAGATTTGATTAGATTAGTAGGGCCAGGGTGGGAGTATGATCAAGGCAGGCATTGAATCACATGGGCCATGTGGCTTCGAACTCACTAAAGATATAGATTCACCACATAAGACGTATAGACCATTGTAGACCTAGTAGTCTACTTGTCCTCCACGATCCTCCACGCATTCGAACGACACCATCGCGATCCTACACGACACCATGGTCACCGGGCTTGCCAGGAGCCAGGGAGCTGACGCGGAGAAGTGGCAGTTGGTATGGTGGAAATCGGATCCGTGTCTTGGATTGAGGGAACACAGTCGCGAATTCGATGGAGGGGTCCCCTACTGCAACAAGAAAGATTATCGAAAGATAAGGATCCCTGCAACAAAACACCTCCTTCTTTGTGTGGCTCTGGATGATGATGTTTGATCAAACTAGTCCCAGTGCATCCAAGTATATCCAAGTTCCCACTACAAAAAGGAACCTTTGATCCTGACAGTGACACGTCCTTTTTCCACCCAACTGACGCATTGGCTGGTAGCCCACGGACTTCTTCCTGGCGGTCACTGGACAGGCCGTTTCCGGGTGCAGTGAGACCGCCAGGTATGCATTGCTACAATCCTTCAGCATTGCCCTGCGCTTCGGCCGGAACCGGACCGCGGCACGGACAGCGGAACGGACGGCGGAGCAGGGCGAATGGGACTTTCACTCTGCACCACCGCAGTGCAGGGCACCTAAGGAGATCTAAGGAGTAAGGAGTATGAGCAATTGACAAGACTTTGGTACTATGTACTTCAGTCATGAGCCGCCTTAAGTATTCCTGAATCTCTGAATTGATCAACATCTTGCAAAACCGATAGGGGCCAACCCTATACCGATACCCTTTCTTGATTGAAAGTAGCAAGTAGCACAATGCCTGCATTCAAAAACACTGGAAACCGATAGGGGCCAACACAAAATACTTTTGGCATTGGGGACACCAAGAAGTCTTGTCCGCCACTCATATGTCACTAAAACCTCCGGACTGGGCTGGTTGTCGTTGGAATCTTATCCTTAAGGTTCAGGGTTAAGACCAGCCCCCTAAACTGTGTGGGGTTAAGACATGTAAAGACCCCTGGGATGTCAAGAGCCCCCCCTGGGCCACTCGCCCCCCACCTTGGGCGACACTCGCTCCCTGCGCCCCGGTGGCGCCGAGGTTTTCCTTCGCCGCGCACACGAACGCAGTGCCCGTGGCCACCTCACTCCGTCAGGCGGATGGTGCCACCATCTGGCGAGCTGCTCGACCGATCGTGCGCCTGTTCCACGGAACTGGAAGGCGTTTGGGAGGACGTGATGGGCGCTTCTTCGCATTTGTCCTTGCGCGCGCCGTCCGGGCCATTAGTGGTTGGAAGTATCCAGGCTCCAAAAACCAGACACTCCATGGGACTGCCATATATACCTACATTGACCCCGCAAACCACCCCAATGTAGGCATATATGTCATACTTGGAGTGTCTGGGAAAGGTATATGTTTGAGAGAATTAACTGGGTGTGGTCTAAAATCGGCTTCGACCCTTTGGGTTCGGAGACCCACCCTTCCTTCTGACCGCCAGGCCAAGTCGGTCTCTCTCAAATGAGGGGTCAAAACCCCGTACCCTGGTTGACCGCCTATAATGACATCAAGGGGATTCCTCGATCTATCGGTTGGGGATGTCAACCCACCCAGTTGTAGGGACCCACAGCCAGGTCAACCTCCTCCCTGCTCGGCCGCTGAGGTCTCTTTGTACTCGGCGCCTCGGAGTGGACGTTGGAGCGACGAAGCGGCGTTTCCGGCCCTTCCGTTTGGTGAAGGGTGAAGCAGGGGCGCCATGATGTGGATATTTGTTCTGAAGAAAAGTCAGATCCACAAGTCCATGCTGACTGTGAATGAGATTTTTCATTCGTTCTACAGATGGTTTCATTCTCACATCTCTGGGTGCTCAGTTCGGGGGAGTGACAGATCAGGTTTCATTTCAGTTCGGTCCGGGCCTTCCATGCACCCAAAAAAGAGGGTCGATGTGTTTCTGACCGGATGGGACGTTGGGATCTCATCGAAATCCGTTTCTTGTTGAGGTCGACAAGTCGACTGTGGTCTTGGTGTTTTTTAGTTATTTTTTTTCCGGGTGAGAGAGGGGCCATGAAAGCACGTGTTGTTTGTCATGCTGCAAGTGGCCTATTCGGTATTCCCGATAGCAACGGATTTCTTGAACTTATATCGTTGCTTAGAACAGTTGTGAGCTTTGCTGGATGTTTCTCCCAAAGTTGGACCTAATGAACTCGAAACAAAACCTGAACTACTATAGACTATACTAGCTGACTCTTTCCAAGTGAGTTTTTTCTCCAGACAGGCACAGTCATGGCACAGTCGTTTAAGACAACTTGTTCACCTACTTCTGGGGTTCTACAACTGCTTCAGGGAACACGTTTGCATTCTACTTTGGCTGCGTTTCCATGTCGCGAGATATGGCTCTTGCCCGGACATGAAGTCCATGAGAAAAGCGGCTTTGCCGAGAGGGATAGTCATGGAATCAGTGAACCATGTGCGTTCTCAACTTTGGGGTGCGTTCTCACAGTTGAGTACTTGTGGCAGGGTCGCAGAGCATAGGCTGCACAGGGTTTCACCTTGCTTTCCCAGCCAACTAGCCAACAGCAGAGCGATGAAAGTGAACGAGAAAAGAGATTTGCCGTCAGTGAATGTTTGTGTTTGGTTTGGAAGTGGTCAAGAGACCCACATGAGGATAGTGTATGAGTCCATCAGACATGTGAATTGAAGTCATCCAAAACTCATGGCATTTGAACATTGAAGTCATTGAAGTCCAAAGATCACCTTTCCTTAAACATGTCCAAGATCGCGGCGGAAAACGTCTCCAGCGTACGTCTCAACGTCGTTGTCCGCGCCATGGCGGACAACGACGATGACGATATCTTCAATGAGGACCACAGCAGCGACTAGGAGCAAGGACGCTACGAACGGGGCTCCTGGCCGTACTACGAAGGGAGCAAGTAGCTATATAGACTGGGAACAAGAAGCTACGAACGGGGCTCCTGGTATCGCTACCGAACGGAGCGTTCGGACGCTATACCGAACGGGGAATGAGAGGACCGCGGGTCACCGGTGACCGGTCACCCGACCGGTCAGAGGTCCGGTGTTGGTTCACCAAAACATCGAACGTATGACTCGGTGCGTTGGGTGTTGGGTATGGGCCTGCGGTATATGGGCCCCTTTTAGTATGTGTTAGTAGCATGGTTTCTATAGCTGGTGTTCCAGCGAGTCTCAGAGTATGGGTGATCGAACCTTTTGACCTTTTTCCATGCTCCTTCTTAGCATCAGCTACATCCAAATTTATCCAACATCTCAAGGCATGTGCCGCCTTAGTTCGGTCCAACGAAGAGGATTGGCATACTGGAACCACAAGGGGCTGACTTTTGACTAAAGTGGCTTCGCTGGGTCACTTCTGCCAAGCATGGTAATTACTGCCCACGAAGTGGGCTCTCACCTATCTAATAATCTCAGATACAAATATGGAGTCCGGCCAAACAGTATATAATCAAAAAACCTAGATAAAGGGGTCGAAAGTAGCTTATGATGTTGTTTTTTGAATTAGATTATGCAGCGGGCCCGCAGCTAAACACACCTATTCTGCAGCTGGGCGCTAGGTTTGCGGTAGACTTGCGCTAGTGACGCTAGTATTTGCCTTGGGGCATGTTCAGAACGTCGTCCGGTTTTTGAAAAGTGGCTGGCTGAAAAATGCGCTAGCCGCGCGATAGGGCTTCGCTAGATCCGCGCTAGCAAACATTGCCAGATTCCAGCGTGGACCCTTCCAAGGCTGAGTTGCAACATGTCTTTTGTTTCAAGCATGGCTTGAAGCCCGGAGATCAGCTGAAAACGCTGCAGCGCTAGTGACGCCTCTTGCAATTTGGCGCCAATACTTGTTTGGTCCATGTTTCCTTCATTAACCAGCTGTGTGTGTGTGTGCCAAAAGTAAAGAATATGTAGCGGGCCCCCATGTGAACACGACTTTCAGCCATTTTTGGAAGAAGACACTTAGACCAGATCCCATATACAGTTATAGTAATATTATATATATATACATATGGACCTCTGAAAAAGATGTATTTGTTCTGTCTCCCCGGAAAGCCGGACAACAGAAGATGCAGAAAGTTCGCGACAGGCATAACACCAAATCACGAAGTGACAAGCCACAACGGACGAAGTAATAAAAGACAAAACCAAAATTGTTTGTTGTGTTTTCTTTTGGAGCTTTGCCTGAAAATTGTTCCGCCGGACAAACACGTACATTTTTTTGTGGGGCCATATACCATATTCACCCAAAGCAGGCTTGGAAGTAGTGAAAATCAGGCTTTTGGATGCCCTGCTACCCTCACCCCCCATGCTACATCGCTGAGGCTCCTCCCCTGCACCTGCTCCAATGCCCACTCCGCAGCCGAGGGCTGCGCCAGCCCCTGCGCCACAACGCTCGGTATCGCCTGCGCGGTCAGCGTGCCTTGGGCACAGAGGATTGGAATAGCCAGACCTCTCCGGTTTTAGCTTCTTCTGTTTGCGGTGGAACTGGGGGAAAGCGAACTGGGAAATTCCACATCCGAAACTCTGTCCATCCCCATGTGCTCAGTTGTGGGGTGTTTCTCGAGGTGTGTGCAATTGTTTTGGGGATCCAGTTGTACCGGTGAGTGATTGGAGACTCTGTTACGTAGGTTTGGAGGGTGCAGTCGTACCTTATGAGGTTCTGTACGACTGGATGCCTAGGGATTGGACTGACTCACAACCCATTGGTCGCAAGGGTCTCCTTGTTTTAACAACTAAAACGTTTGTTCGCTTTAGAACTGAAGGGGAAGTCTTCGATTGTGGAGCTCCATGCAGGGGTCACGACACGTTCCCAATGAAGCCAGTCATCTAGATCCGCACTAGCCGTCACTAGCCTTTTTGTAGGATTTACATTTGTTGAAATTGAAGCCCTGGATGAACATGTATGACCCCCACATGAAGCCCATCACACGCAGCATGCATGCCCGCCCCCCCCATGGCAGGATTCGGATGAAGTCAAGGAAGGGTTCCTCTTGACCATGTTGGGGATTGAACCTTAAATGCAACTCAACAACCCTTGAATGGAGGGAAATGATGGGTGATTTTGGCCTTCAAGGCAAATCATGTTTGCAATGTGTCACCAGTCCGCATGACCTGAACGTACATCCTATCACCGTTTGACAGACAGAGTTCGCAAACGAATTAGGTCTGGAGTGTGCACCCTTACGATGGGCGCCCATTCGGCGGGGGTGCTTGACATTTTCGGTGGGTGACGCTCAGCAGGCTTCGGCGCGTGGTCAGTAGCATAGAACGCTCCCTGCAATTGAAAAAACATGGAGCTGACCCCTCGAATTATTTTTCCCAAAAGATTTAAAGGATCGGTCCTTCATGGGCGGCCTGATTCTTTCGTACGGAACACCCTCTTCGACCACACACGTCGACGTGTTTGGGACTGGCATATTTGCCGAGAAACGGCCAGGGGCGGTTGAAAAAGGGTCCATGGAGATACGTAATATATATATATATATATTACATCGTATATGTAAAAACTATGCATCCGCACTCAAGTGTTTGAGTTTGTTGTGACATTCTCGGATTGTACTTGGGTCATCCCCCCCGGCGGTAAGTGGATCACAAACTGCTTTGAAACGTGGAGCTGAGCTTTCTGATGCAGCACTTGCAGGACCGAACGACCGGGCAATTCATGGGCCTCTTTGAAGGGGAGATGTACTGGGCATGGTCAGAAAGCCAGAAGGGCCATGATGAGCCTGCTGTGCAGAGGCCCCTCCTTGCAGTAGTACCATGGTAGGAAATCGGAGCATGTTCATGAGTGTCAATTAGGAGGCAGCCCGTGTACCAAAAGGAAGGAGAGTGAAGTAGGTGAGAGAAACAACAATTGGCTCTTGGTTTCTGACAGAGTTTATATTTTTAGACCGAGTTACCACCCAACACTCACTGCAGAATTTGGCGCCTCGCATCCTCGAGGGGCAGCCCACAATGGCCGCTCCGGGCACTTCTGTCGGGACACCCAACCAAGAGGAAGACAACTGCAACAATCTCTCAACTGCATTTGATACAACCATAGAAAGCACAAATCAGCTCCACACAGAGTGTTTATTGCGGGAATGGACATGTCGTCCAGCGAAGTCCAGGCACACCGGCCCCGCGCTGGTTAAAGGATTGCCGCTGACCACTGAAGTAGTGTGTTTTACGTATTTGTTTTGTTTCTATTCCTCTTTAGGGATTTCTGGAAAGGTGTCTTTATATGTCTTTATGTTGATGGGTTTCAAGTCTGCGTGCAAGGCCCGTGGTGCAAGCTATGCTGCTCGAGTGGTCTTGCATTAATAGCATTGTGTGTGTGATTTTGCTTATTCATTTCTGCCTCCTCTTCTCTGCTTCCTCGCCATCTTGTTTCGAGAGACAGACGGACAGACGGACGGAGAGACAGACAGTGTTTCCTCTCCTCTTCTCTGCTTCCTGCTCCTCTTCCCTATTCCTCTTCCTCTTCCTCTTCTTCTTTTTCTTCTTCTTTTTTTATTCTTCTTCTTCTTCTTCTTCCTCTTCCTCTTCCTTTTCCTTTTTCTCTTCCGCAGCCTCTTCCTCTTGCTCTTGGTTGTTCTTGCTTGTTCTGAGTGTGAGAGAGAGAGAGAGAGAGACAGAGACAAGGCATGACAAAGCGATAGGAAGACAAGGCAACACCAACACCGTCCTGGGTACAGAAATTCCGGTGGATGGACACAGCCAATTCTTCAGAAATTGAGCAGGGGATTATTATGCATATACCCTGGTTTAGCACGGACGTTTCATGACACTATCAAGCAGTACCAAATAGTACGGTAACGCTTTTTTAAATATATGGTGGCCTGGCCAGAGCAATCGGCTCCGGAGGTAGTATAAAAGACCTGTTCCCACCGTATATTTAAAGGGTCTGGCCGGGCCAGAGCAATCGGCCCCGGAGGTAGTATAAAATACTTGTTCCCCCCGTATATTTAAAATGTAATCCCTGTTGACATTTCTTTTACGAAAAGGGAGAGCTTGAGGGGCCATGTTGTAACGAGGCAGTTTTTGGCACCTACAGAACCCGATTTTTGTAGTAGTAAACCACCAGGGCCGCCTGGACCACCAAGACCACTTGGACCACCAAGACCACCTAGACCACCAAGATCGCCTAGACCACCGGACCCAAGACCGCCGGGACCACCTAGACCACCAAGGCCACCGGGACCCCCAAGACCACCAAGAGCACCACCAACACCGCCTAGACCGCCACAATCACCACCAAGACCACCGGGGCCACCAAGACCACCGAGACACCAAGACCACCACCGCCAAGACCACCGGGACCATCAAGACCACCAAGGCCACCGGGACCACCAAGAGCACCACCAACACCGCCTAGCCCGCCACAATCACCACCAAGACCACCGGGACCACCAAGACCACCGAGACACCAAGACCGGACCACCACGGCCACCGGCACCACCAAGAGCACCACCAACACCGCCTAGACCACCACAATCACCACCAAGACCACCGGGAACACCAAGACCACCGAGACACCAAGACCGGACCACCAAGGCCACTGAGACCACCAAGAGCGCCACCAACACTGCCCAGACCGCCACAATCACCACCAAGACCACCGGGACTACCAAGACTAAAGTAGTCTGAGCGAGATACTGTGACATGACATGACCTTCTACTTAAGTAGTCTAAACAAGATAGGGCCTCCTCCGCATAATAGATTGCGCGTTTGAGCTCAGTACCAAATAAATGCTGCCGCACATATGTAAGCTGACCGTATATTTAAATCGTACCGTATATTCATTACGAAAGCCAGCCTTCGTAGAAGGCGCTAGCGGAGTTGTGTCTGGCGAACGAAGTGAGTAGTTAGGGGGTCTGGGGGGGTGGCCCGAGAAAGGTATACGTCAACTCCAGCACATGCTGGGGGAGGAGGGTGCTCCGAGGGAAGGTTTTTTGAGGTTGTGTTGGAGGTGATTTTTGAGGGGTGGTGATGCAAGAAATGCCAACTGCATCATTTGCATCATCTGAATGGAAAGGTGTAGTTGGCACCTTGCAAGGTAGAGAGACCTAGGGTAGCTATAGTGCAGCTACCAGGTATAGTACTTCAAGTTCCCTTTCCGTCAACCGCTTGAGAACCTCTACACACGCACAGCAATCCACAGCCTTGAAGTCTCATTCGTGCTTTGAACTTGTATAGGTGTGTAAGAGGTATAGCAACATACTATTTATACGGACCCAGGGTAGCTACAAGTAGCTACAGTTCTGGTATGGCGCGCATGAGGCTTCAAAGCTGTGGTTTTCAAGCTAAAGTCAAGGTGGCCTGAGACCAGGGTTTGCTGCCCTAAAACACTCTGTTCAGGCCACCTTGAAAATGAAGGTGTAGTTGGCACCTTGCCAGGTATAGACACCCAGGGCAGCTATGTAGCTGTGGTTTTCAAGCTAAATTCAAGGTGGCCTGAGACCACGGTTTGCTGCCCTAAAACACTGTTCAGGCCACCTTGAAAATAAAGGTGTAGTTGGCACCTTGCCAGGTATAGACACCCAGGGTAGCTATGTAGCTGTGGTTTTCAAGCTACATTCAAGGTGGCCTGAGACCACGGTTTGCTGCCCTAAACCACTCTGTTCAGGCCACCTTGAAAATAAAGGTCTTGTAGCTACAATTCTGTTCCCAGGTATGGCGCGCATCAGGCTTCACAGACAGTGGAAATAGCTTCTTCCCGGCTTTGCATTGCGAATCAGCCCCACAAAAGCGCTGGCTTTCGTTTTGCAGCTTCTCAGGTTCCGTATGTTTAACGGGTCGGGCCGGGCTGGCAAAAACCTTGCCGGAGGTAGTCTAAAATACCTGTTCACCTGTTTTTGAAAATCGTATATTTAAAAAGCGATACCGCGATACCGTAGCGTTGCCTGGGTGATGAACAAAAATCATACTACCAGAATGGGTCTACATCTCCAGTCCGGCATTTGTATGAATACAGCAGTCAACATAAAGTGGACGCCACGACGCCGTGGTCGACAAAGTAATTTCATTGGACAGCTCTCGGCTTCCTTGAGTTTCACGGTTTCCCTGAGGACTTCAAGGAGGGCGATTGGATTTGCCCGTGTCCCCGGCTTCGGAGGGATGGAACCGGCGCTTCCGCAGCTCAGGGATGGAAGTAGCGGCCGGGAATTGGTTTCCCATGAATGGTCGAAATGGGTTTCAGCTCGTGGATCCACTGGGACGGCAGCGATCGCGCCGATTGAAGATGTCGACATCCTCGGCGTATCACCGTAAACTGGTCTCAGCCTGAGAGAAATCTTCCAACTATGCGACTTTCTGCCGAATCTGTGATGTTGTACCATTGGAAGATCTATGTACATCCACTGCTGCGGGACTCGAACACGTCGCGCTATATTCATACATGTTTATGCAACATACTCTCTCCATCCTGGGCTTCAACAAGCTCAATGGGATCTATTTTCGATCCAACCGCTGGTCCGACGGGGCTCAGGTCGGACGGTCCGCCTCAGGAGCTCCTGTCTTCGGTGTTTGATTTCCGTCAGTTTCACTTCCCTTTGAGGCGCCCGCTGTGGCGATCACCAGCCCGGGAAGCCCGAGGGTCGACGGGTGGCTAGTGACTGCTAGCGCGACGAAAGTCATGTAGACTTGCTGATATTTCAAGTCCCCCCTGTGAAGAGGGTTTTTCTATCCATGTCTGGGCTTTTTGTTCAAGAGTTTGCAGGATCTTTTTGAGGGTACAAGTAGCTGAAATTCTCACAAGAGAGAACCTTAGGAATCGCGCCTTCCCAGCGGGTAGCTTCAGGTGCAGGACCTGGGAGTTTCTGAACTTTCTGAGGCTTTGTGTGCCAACGAAGGCATGACCATTCACCTGAAATAGCACACCACTACTGGGCCAACCGGGCCTCAGGTTTTACATGTGTCATGGTGCTTATTGTTCACATGCCAAGGCTTTAAATCATAATACTAAAGTGTGCCAAGAACTTGTTGGATACTGATAAGGACAAGCCGGAGAGTCTTTGAGTTGATTGGAGATTTACCAGTCCGGTTCTATTGATTGCTCTGGGTCAATGGGTTTGTGATGGTTGTGTGTGAAGCAAGTGGACCCATCACAACCAGCCGCTTTTATCTACTGTAATCTAACAGCTTCGCCGTACATATATAGGTATCGTTAGATTAGATAAAAGCGGCTGGTTGTGATGGGTCCACTTGCTTCACACACAACCATCACAAACCCATTGAGGTATCGTTCTTGCTTCACACATATAGGTGTCGTTCTGATTTATCCACATGTGTCGCCCCAACCACCGGATCCCGGCAGACCCTTGGGTGACGTGCAGACCCGAACGAGCGGCCACAGGACCTGGGAACAAGTGTGGTGAAGCGGGTCGCACCGAATGAAAGCGCGCCGATTTCCCCCCCAAGAGGGCGCTGGTATTCATACTATGCATTCATCACTTATACTTTAGTATGCCCTAGAAGTCCGAAGACGATATTTTGCACCGCCAAAGTGAAGGAAATTCCTCTTTCCGGTCATGTACAGAAAATACCATTTTGAGCATAGTCTTGTAGTCTAGTGGACAATTTGTTGCGCGCGTTCTCGACTTCTTGACCGGCTTCTGCAAGAACAGGGTGGGGAAATTCGTCGATCCACCAATTTGGCTTCCTATCGGACCACCCCAAACTTGGCAGTCCTGCTGGAATCTGTAGTGTTATTTATAATATATATATATATATCATATGTTTACGTAGCAGTATATGGGTATATAAACGGATGTATTCAGCAAAAACGCTTTTGGTGCTTGCTTTCTTACTCTTTCACCTGTTGAGAGAGTACTGTTGACGCTTCAGGACTCCCCACCGAAGGCTAGGCTCCCACCGCGCTGCTTCCGAGGTTCGCGCGGAACCCCGGCTGCCGCCGCTGCGGCGCCGCCCGGCCGACGGCCGTGCCCTCCGCCGAGGAGCCGGGTGGGGGCGGCGACTCCATGGTACACCTGTCTCCTGCACGTGGGTAGTAGTTGGAACCCCTGCTAGGTGGTGATTAAAAATAAAAATTAATTGTTTTTGTTGCTAATGTCTGAACAACTTTGATGGTGAATCATCTTAATGACAGATATATTTTGGTATATATATAATACATATATATATATATTACATATATACAAGTGTTTGTTAAAGAGTCGCTTGATATTGGAATCAAAGGGATCTTGTGAGACACTAACCTTTAGTGGCGGTATTTATATGGTGGATAAACCACTGTATGTTCTTTCATTGTTTGTGCATCCAGCCCAGACACCGGACTCAAATTTGTTTAGTGTTTTTCTTTTCTATTGTTTAGTTTGTGTTTTTGCGCTGGGTATGAAAAGGCATAAAACTGAACAAAGACAAATCACCTGATAATCACCTTGAATACATTTGCTGACAGTTGTTTGCATGACTTCAACATCTGCTGTAGCAAGTGCAAATTTCACCATCACTCAGTTGCACTGACCCATATTCTCTCTAAATTTGCACAGGAGATGACTTTGCTTGTGGATAGAACCATATGACAATATGATATTCATGGCACACCTGAAGATTGTTTAGAGTTACTATCATTTTGCATCCTAATCATTGCTTTGGATACAATGGTGTGTTTTCCTCTGCAGAACAACCACGTTCACTTACAGTTGGAAGATTTGTTTGCGTCATTTGCACCAAACATGGGGAAACACCCGGTCCGCGCTGTTCGCTCAGGCAGTCCCGCCGGTACCGCCGATCCCCATGCCGGTGCAGCAGATGAGCCCACAGAATGCCTGGGCCAACTACGGAGGTGCCTGGGTTACGGATGAGTGAAAGAACAGCGATTTCAGAACTGCAACAAATGAGCTGCAGGACAGGGGCCTTGGTTTACAAGAACAACAGGCATATATTGCAGGCCTTGGTTTGCTGCTCATGTAGATTGGATATATTTACAAGAACAGGACAGGGGCCTTGGTTTTATCCAACATGTTTGAATGGCGTATCCTTGCACGTTGGCGTATCCTTGAGAGATTTGGAGAGTTTTGAAGCCAGTGACGTGGTCATGAAAGTGGTTCAACATTCCGAATGCTACAATAAGTTCAGAGTGGAAGGACCCAAATCAGAGTTCTTTGGATGTCCATTTGTCTCTTCGAGTCCGGCATCTACTCAGCTTGCCCGCTCTATGGGTTGCGGATGGTTGCACCTCACTGGTGTTAGCTCCCGTCAGGAGCTCTTGCGCCCGCTCTTCCTCGTCACGCACCGAGTTACAAACCCAAATATCCCAGCGATCCCAACGTCAAGCTCCGCCGCGCAGACGCTCGGACCGAGAGAACGCTCGGATTTCAGCGACGCGACGCGTGGGACGAAACGACGCGTGGGACGTACCGTGTCGTTAGACCGTGGGTGATTTTTCTAACGGTCAAACACAGATAACTAAACCAACAAGAAACGATTCATATTTGGGGGGGCGTCAGAAGATTGGGAACTTTCGAAAGGTCGCCAAGACTAAATCTTTTCATGGGGAGAGATCCCACAGACTAAATCTCTTCATGAGGAAAGATACCACAAATTAATTCTCTTCATGAGGAGGGGTTCCAAAGACTTAAACCTTTTCATGAGTGTATTGGAAATGACAGTGGAGACCTGTGGGATGTTTATTGTTGTGTGGCGCACAACATGTCCCACCGCGGGGGGGACCAAATTACTGTAAGGTGGGTTAGGAATAGAGGGGTTATGGGGGCCCCCGTTGGGAGTTTCAAAACGTAATTTGTTGTGATAGGGCTTTACACAGAACTCTATATTGGGTTATTTGTGACTGGTTTGGGGGTTCTATGTGATTTTAGGGTAAGTGCAAGGTTTAGGCTGGAGTCGTTCAATTGGCTGGTACAGACTCCGTGCCATGGAGAAGATGATCCAGAAGATTGCTGAGGAGGATTGGGTCAAACTTTATGCGCGTATCCGCTAATTTAGAGCATGTTTTTTTCTCTGAATGGGCAATGCCAAAGAGGTGGTGTAGAAATTGAGTTGGGGAAGTGCTTTTTTCTTGACAATAGGAGCATGGTGTGAGGGATTTGTGAAGTTAAAGGAGTTAGAGAAAAGGAACAGGGGCGGTTAGCATTGCAAATAACAGTCCCAAGAAAGGTTGACAAAATATGAAAAATACATAACTGGTGAGAGGGGCAGTGGCCAAAGTTCTCAAAATGGGCTGTTTATCAAAGGCGGCTATGATTGCAGGACCCAAGGCGGACCAAACTATATAGTTGTTTCCGCAGTGCAGTTTTCTGAGGCTGCACAACCATGTGGGGAAAGTTGGAGAAGGAACGGGACGAAGGGTTCCATTCAACTGACTAGATGACTGCACTCGAAGCGAAAAGTTATTCAAGGAATCACTGACACAGAGTGCTCTTCATGATCGGGGACTTTGAGTTGTGAAGGATGCTTAAGGCTTCATCACTTGTGGCCATCAGATGATTGTTTTCTGGGTTCCAACTGGGGTCTATACCGCGGGACCCGTAGAACCCGCGAAACCAGTAATTACACGTCCTGGAATAGTTATGACAATGGAAAACCACCTGTTTGGTATTCGGAAAAGTGTCGTCCAAGGCGGGATAAGGATCGATTCCGCAACTGCACAGGATTTAGCAACTAGGATTCTGCGACTACTGGATTCCGCACCTGGTTTTTTGCATCTAGGATCCTCAACTGGGATTCCGTAACTGGGTTTCCGGATCTAGGATTCGGCCCAGCGACAGCAAACATAACCACTCCACCTGGATGTCGCAACTGTGAATTTCCCAGTTTCAACACAACAGTTTCAGACTTTCAGTTTCCGAACACCAGTTGCAGAATCTGACTTTCCAGTTTGAAAGCACAAATGTCAGAACCCCAATTGCAGAATCGTACATTCCAGTTTCAGAACACAAGTTTCAAACACCAGTTGCAGATGTTGACTTTCCAGTTTCAGAAAGTAGTTTCAGAATCACAATTTTTAGAACCCCAGTTTCAGAATCCTAGTTTCAGAACCCGAGTTTCAGCATACTAGCTTCAGAATCCCAGTTTCAGAACCCTATAGTTTCAGAAGACCAGTTTCAGAAGCCCTGTTTCCGAATCCCACCGGTTAGTTTCCGAATCCGGTTACGCCATCCACTTCCATGATTATTCCAAGGGGTGTGACATGTTTGTTGTTGTTTGAACCATTAAGGGCGACCTTCTGTGCTAGCATTGAGCTCACAGGTTACCATGTGCACAACAATCTCTCCCATGCAGGATAATTTTTCCAACAGGTGCCCAATAGCAAAACCTGTACCCCTGAACTTTGTAAGACTTGTTCATGGTTCATGAGATTTCATGAGCTACCCCACCTGTGGTCACCATTTGCCACTGCCATCACCTACTGTAGCCTCAACGCCTTCTCGGGGGCAGTTCCTCCGGTCATTTAGGACATCCCACCCGTTTCAGCGGCGGTTTCTTCGCATCAGAGGATGAAGCCACCGGAGCTTCGGTCTCTCAGGGTCAACCGGGTTTCTCCCTCCGTCGAAGGAGACGAAACTTGTCGTGGGTCCCATCCGTTGACCGACCTGCAGAGTGGTGGACCGACCTTGATGTCTTTTTCATCTCAGGTTCTTGATGAACATGTTACAATGGATACTTTCAGCAACAGACCGCGAAGTCCTGCTAATGACCTCGAACCACCCCGACCCGGCTAACGCCAGTTTCTTCAAGTAGTTCTGGATTTCATGGTTTGTCATGGAGCCTTCCAATCTCCGGACAATATACAGTAGCTAGAATGAACCGATTTGACCTGGAAACTTCACGCCTACATTCTTCAGGGTGAAATCACTTCTCCAGTGATCGCTACACAAAATGCAAATTTTTGGAGTGCTCTTTTCTGAACGGACCATGTGTTCTCACCCTGAGGTGATGAATGATGATCGGGAAGCATTCTTACAAGCGCTGAACTGCGGTGGGAGTGACGAGGGTCGGGACGGCGCCGGCAAGTGCGTCTTGCATTACGCCGCCCGGGGGGGGCCAGTTCCTCGGTCTCCAGAGCTGGGGGGCTGGGGTAGGGTGGGAACTGGAGTCTGGGACTGGAGAAGTCTGGAGTTTGGTGGAGTTTTTCTGTCTTGTCTCGGGGGCGCCGCCTGCCATCTAAGGGGCCTCCCTGACCCTGCGGGGTCTCCTTAACTAACAAAGCCTAACAAAGCCTGTCTTACATCTTAGTATGAGTTTGGTTGGTCAGCTTTAAGTCAGCTTGGTTAAACATGGTTAAATCATTTATCAAATGTCTTGTTTGTCATGTTCGTTCTTTCTACTGAGCGTCTCTAACCAGGTGGAGAAGATGCAGCCAGCTCTGAGTTCATCACACAATAAGACAAAAAGTATTGAACTTTCTCCGTTGGCGTTGCTGACAGTCGCAGAAGAAAGTGTTTCACACATAGACCGAAGACGAGTGTAATGGTTTGTTCAGAATGTTTTGGAACGCAACACATGTTTGACTGTAGTCTAAATCATTCCAGCACCCTCCAACAGGTCTCCTCTAGAGGGCTGTTGGGACTTAACAGGTCTCAATTGGTTACCTTTTGAAGGGTGCTGGTATATACTCATGAATATGTTCTCTTTCCTTCTCCTTTGTTTCTTCTTGAGATGGTAGTTGGACCTTTCTGAACAGGTAGGGTAGTCTGGGCTTCGTCTTGCTTTGCCCGGGCTTAGCTAGCCACATTCACGCCGAGTGGTCAGCTGAGTTCAGTGCTCAGGAGACCGTTCAGGCCAGTGCTTCGTGATGGTGTCCTTAAGGGCGATGGTGTCCCTACAAGGCAGGACCAGAGGTATCCAGTGACCTGAACTAACTAGGATAGTCTAGTTCGGGTTCTGACCCACCTCTGCTGGGAGTACTATGGACATCCTGCACCAAAAAGGAGTACACATGATTCCCACACGAATCCACTCCCTGAAAGCGTGGGTCCCTCCTCGATCCTTCACGCTTTCTCCCGCTCCCACCGGTCCGCGGCGCAAGTCCGGTCGACCGGAACACGGCAGCGCCTCACACGGCAGGCACTTCAAGGCAGTGGCACAACAAAAACCGACGCCCCCACCGTGGTTTTTGGTTGGGGACACCAAGGCTGTGGTTCCTACACCAATGCTTAGAACGAGGCTTCGACCCCAATGCCAAAGACCTCTATGGCACCACCGTGGTCGATGAAGCGGCACCTCGGCGTCGAGTCCCCGAAACCGCCTGGGTCGGCGAAGGCTCGGCGGAAAGAGGGTTATTTTTTCAGAATGCACTCCAGAAGATTTGGAGAGGCATCGCATGGATTGTTCGAGTTTGGCAGGGTTTGTCCTTGCCCACCGGCAAGCCAAACAAAAGTCCTTTGAGTTTCCGGAATCTGCAAAACACTTCGTGAGACCTCTCAGACTAGGGCCTCAAATGCCTGCTCAACCGGCTCAACAAAAGTAATTATAGTCGGTCCATCGGTCCCCAAAGTTGGTTCAACCATGTTCAACCCTTTTCTCAGCTTTGGGATCAATTGGAAGGCCTATGTGACTTCCTTGATTTCCCCTAGGCCCTAGAAACCGTTGTGTGCTTCCACTGTGTGGACCTCCAGCTTCCCCTGCTGCAGCCCCTCCACCACACCTAAATGGCAGGAATACTGGAGCATGAAGTACAGCAGCGTCACTGGGATAGCAAGAGTGTTTGGTCTACATACCAGTCGTGGGGGAGCAACAAAAATAGGCTTCGAAAGTTGAAGCCCCCCTGTTGGTTGGAGGGGAGAATTTTGGGATGGATCCTCCATGATCCTCCAGTCTACTTTTCTGGGTGTCCAGACAGGTGATCTCATACCGTCAAAGTCTTTTCTCCACGGCCTCGAGACGAGCGCGTGGCGAGATGAGTGGCCCGCTTTCGTCACATGTAGGTCCGTATCCAGGGTGTTTCTTTCGATCAAAGTGGTAGCATGGTGAAGTCTTGGAATACCTTTTGGTCATAGGGGTCTTAAACTTAAGCAGTCTCAAAAGCACAAAGAAATCTTCAACATGTTTCCACCATTGGATTATCCGACCACCAACAGTCCCAACAACAGGTCTCACTGGAGAGGACATCCGATTCCCATCGCAATCGCTCTTCGAGATTCTCAAACGCCTAACCTCTCAAAACCATCCCTAGTGATCCACATACCCTCTGAGAAGGTGATTGGGTTTGGAGGGTCCAGTCGTACCTTCTGAGAAAGTCCTAGGGCATGGTTGGGTTTTTTGGAAGATTACAGGTATAACATCCGTGCCGCTCCCTGTGAATTTGTGTGCGCGTGGTCAACCAGGGTTTCGAGATGTCCAGGAACATGTGGGTGAACTGGGTGAACCAAACCCACAACTCCGATCCATCCCAATGGAACTTCATGTAAACCTGCGAAAGTACGGGCTTCTCACAGACACAGTTGGCCAACAAAGGCTAATAATATACAAATTCCTAAACATTCCACTGACTGAAAGACTGGAAGTTACAAAATGGCAGGTGTAAAATCCTGCAAATTCGGCTTTCCTGTTCGAGTCTGGACCGTTGTGGACCTCCTTTCTACCCGTGACCCGTGTTTCACTGGGGCGGGTTGTCGGGTTCAGCCTCTCCCAGAACGAAGAACGCCAACAATGCCTGCAATGCCGCAACCTCTTGGCCGTCTACGGTGGCCGCCGGGGCGATTCAGCCGCTCGGAGCTGTGAAAAGAAAAAAGAAAGCACTGTAGTTCTAGAGTTCCACGCACTTCTCTTCTCAACCTGAGACTCTTTAAGTTCAATCTTGCGGCAACCCACCTCCAATTCCAGAGAACATACCCTGACAGGTGCAATCCTTGAAACAATGCTGACTACCATCTTCCAAGCAAAAAAAAAGTCTCAAAACAAGGAGAACGAAAAGGAAAACAGTTCTCTACACATTTCAACTTTCTTCAAGAAAAGAGGTATCCGGATACTTGGAAAAAGCAAACTGTATTTCACAAGGCTCTCAGCAAAACAACCAAAACTAGAAATCACACACCGGGAAAAGATGAATCTCTGAACAAAGAAGCTTTGAGCGATTTCCAAGTGGATGCTTTCCATCCAGATTCAAACAAACACGAGCGACGAAGCTGCAGAATCTGCAAAACTGCACAAAAACAAGAAGTGCCGTGAGCTGAAACAGAAGGCTCCCCAGTCCCAAGAACTCCGTCATCTTCACACCTAAACGCAAACCAACCAATCGAACTCTTCCGAACGAAGACAGCTTTTTGGGGAGGGTGGATCTGATGTTTGTTAGGCTGGAGTGCTTGCTAACTTAGCATGGGATTCTATGATATTCTATGCTTGGTCATACAATATCAAGTCCCCATGTACTGTACCGATGGATGCCATCGAATCATATCGAATCAATGAAGAAAAGAGTTATATTTAGAGGGACTTTTGTTACTTAATAGAATATGTTCGAGGCAACCCGATCGGCCGCAACCCGTTTGAAACGTTTCCAGGCTGGGAATGTTCGACCTTTCAACTTTGACCGGAAGGGGCCGATGGAGGAAACGAGACCAGCTGTAGGGTTGACATCTCACGTTTGGTGATGGATTTTAATGGATTTTAATTGTGATTGAGCCCACTGACTCATATTTTACAATTCAAGTGAGTTCAAACCATGCAAGCATGGTCTTCGTTAGTATGACCCCATTTGCTGGTTTACTTGGTTGACTCCACTGGATGCTTGGAGACTTCATATAGAACTTGATGGACTGACTTAAAGCCTGACTCTGTTCTTGTGTGAACAAGATTCGATTGACCTCTTGGAATTGCATTTCTCCTATAGAAACCCCATACATCAATACGCACGAGTTTTGCTGCCGGAGTTCTCCGCTTAAGCAACCACCACCGGACATCCTCCACCTGTCCAGTTCTCGAAAGGTCGACATGCGACGGCATCGGGTGAAGCTTGAAAACCTCCTTGGAAGAGACGGTGCGGAGGGGATCGCGGCGTGGATCGCAGCGTCCACTTGCACCAACCATTCGGAGGTGGAAGATCAGGTTGTATTGGCCGACTTGCACTTCGACTCGCAATAGAAGCGGTGTGAGTAGCAGTTGTTGTTGTTGTTGTCACAGACGTAGTCCTTGTGGTGAGGAAGAGGTAGTCCTGGTGGCAGTGAATCACACAGGTTTCACTGTCCTAGTTTGCTAAGGTTTGCTGGGCCTTCTTCCCGTAATGTAAGCGGCCTCGGAAGAGATGTTTATGATTGGGAGGTTGAATAGGCACTTTGGAGATTTTAGAGCTGGTTTCTCCTGCCAGCCTGTGGCTTCAAAGTGACTTGTCACGATCCCTGTAAGCTAACTAACAGGGGTAGATGACTTCAATTCCAAACGGTTACTGTATGTTCAGGATATTTGAGGCTCAATGCCTTCTGTTGTTTCACTTGGCAGAATCAAAGTTCAACCTAGAACATGTACACCAGTTGGAACCCACTGGTTGGTCTCTTCATGTCTCTTCCAAATCTGAGGCAAAACAAGCTAATGTGGTTGAATAGGATTATAACCCACCCTCAGAGAACTAACTAACTAACTAACTAACTAACTAACTAACTAACCAACCAACCAACCAACCAACGAACTAACTAGCTAGCTAACTAACTAACTAACTAACTAACTAACAACAACAAACATTCTTATATACCACAAAAGGTGGTTAGATACAGATTAGACTCCCCAGGCGCCCAGCCCTGGCCCACCTCAGGAGGTAGTTGAAGGGCCAGGGGGGGTGAATCAGTTTGTGTTTCGATGCATATCGGTCCACGTGGGAACCTCGGACGGACGGTTCAGGCCGAGACAGGTTTTGGTTGCCTTGGCACGAGGATTTGAGCATCATCGCCAGGTGGGCGGCCGGTGCCCGGTGCCGGAAGTCTCGGTTCCTGAGAGGTATACGAAAGAAAACCTCCTTGAGCAGTTGAATGAAATCGAAGTGTTTACAACTTGCTTATCTTGGGGGGGTCAGAGTTGTTGCTGTGGTTTTCTCAATGCAGGATGTGTATTTTCTTATTTTCATTGTTATTCTATTCGTTATGTTATAAGCGGGATTGGACAACATCGGACAAGTATACAATATATACCTGGATTTTCCAAAAACCTACCAACTACCCAAAGTTTCAGGTCGCCTTGCTTTGTTGGTCGTTTTGGTTGTTTGATGTTGTTTGTGTTCATTCGTTGATGTTTGCGGTTGTTTTGGTGTGAGTGTTTGCGGTGTGTGTTGCGCCCATGTGGGATGGTATGTGGATCGTTGTACCGTCGGATTGCCGACGCGGAAGACTCAGTCAATGACCGACTCGCTGAAGACGTGGTTTCACTGGAAGGACGTCTAGATTTTTAGTGAGCTACGCAGCTACGAGAAGGTCCCATTCAAGACCGATGACGTCCATTTGTTAGTTGAAGAAGAATAAGGAGTTTTGACCGTGCCGTCCCATATATATATACTGTATATAAATATCAATCTTTGGGTCGGATCCTCGGATCCTCATATCACGGATCCTCGTATCCCGCGCTCTGCCATTCCGCGCTCGCACGGTCCGCGCCTGAGGCGCTGGGAAGCCATGCGGAATGATCCCAATGTCCAGGTGTCAAACTCCTGGAGCTTGGAACGAGAAGTGACTGGGGCTGCGAAGCGACTGGGGGGTTTTCGCATTGGGGAAAGGTGGACATCCCACTGAAAGAGGTGCTGTTTTGTTTTCCTGTGGGGAGACTGCTTGAACGGAGCTGGTGGATAAAGAGAGGTTTCTAAACTCATGATCATTCCATAGGTTTGATTCATCAATATTCATCATGTTTGATTCCAACGATACTTGAATAGCACAAAGGGGTGAACATAATTGATGATTTATCATGGTTGGTGGCTACACCTTAGTTTTGTTTGGGCTGTGTGGTTTGCATGTCAAGGTATACGAGCATATACGGAACGTGTGTTTGAGCAGTCTTTCCAGTAGACGGCACTATACTCTGATCTCAAAAATCATTATCTTAAAGATTTTCACGGCACATATTGATTTGGCAAAATTCTTTTTGGATTCTTTGGAGTCGATATGAGGAAAATCTGTGGCCACGTCTAGCGCTGTTCCAACCAACACAACACCGGGAATCTCAAGTTTGCAATAACAGGGCTCGATGTCGGTTCGGATTTAACAGCCTTTTGTCTCTACACTCCCTGAAACAATCATGGAAGTGGACCACGGCCCCTTGAAAGACTATTTTCCTCTACTAGAGGATCTAAGAGGGGGTTGTCCACTTTCATGATTGTAGGGAGGGTACATGTTGAACAACCACGGATTCATCAACGGTTGTGTTGACGACCCACTATCATTCAAATGCCCTGCCCAATGTCTCAACATTGACTTTCCGGCTTATGTACTACATATACATTATTCATCCACATAAAACATCGATATTACGAGTACTTAATTAATATAGTTCCTGTGGAGCAATACCGCACTTTTCAAACGCTGCTCACTAGATCTCACGGTTTCAAACATCTCTTTTTCGGAAAAAAGAAAACACCACCGTGGGACCGCCCCGCCCAACGCGACCAGGTGAAGCCTCTCCTGGAGCTCCCCCCAGTGACTGGGGACCCCTTCGACCCCTTGAGCTCCGACAGCGACGCCACAGCCGGAACGGCTCCTGCGCAAACTGCCACGGCTCCTGCGGTGACACCCGGTGCCAGGCCGCGGTGCCGGCTCACGCGGAGTCTTGGGGGTGTGTCTTCTGTGTCATAGTATCCCTGGAAGAGTACCCCACAAGAGTGGAAGGGGTGTGGGAGTGATGTGTCCGCAAGTTGGTGTGTTTTTGGTGGTTTTCTCCATGCTTGGCACAGGTCAGCCATCGCCCATGTCTGGAAGTAGGTCAACTACTGTACGTGATAGTTTCGCGGGTGCGGACGTGCCGGCAGATCATTTTCAAACAGGGATGTGGCCAAAGAGAGAAGTTGCTTCGAGCATTGTTCCCTTCTCCAAAGCATTGTGGCCAAAGGGACCATCAAGGAGAAAACCTTGGGGTAAACAGAGCTTTGTTTTCATGAAGTGTTTTACGACTTTCTTGGAGTTTTCAACCGTTTTTGCATCAACCATTGTTACTGGTCATGGGATATACCGGTGAAGTACCCTGTTACCTGTGATCCCTCGTCTCATCGGTCCCCTGCCTCCGAAAGGAGCACTGCGGCTGCCGAGGAGCAATGGGACTGGCGGTGGTTGAAAGGGAGTCAATGCAGGCATCGTTGCAGGCATCGTTGCAGGCTTATGTTCCAGTTCCATGGAGTGTTTGGGTAGAGGCAAAAACCTGAGGTATAGGTACATGGGTAATCATGGGTATAGGTACATGGAGTCACAACCGAATAGTCTGAAAACCTGAGGATGAGCCGTCTCCAAAAACCGAGGTGAAAAGCTTTTTTTAATAAGTCTTTTGCAAGGGTCGTTGGTCCAAACGTTGGAGACGACCAAACGACCCATGGGTGGCTTGACCAGCAGCTTTGCTGGCTGACGGCCTGTTCAGAAGACCTCGACCTGGGTCAAGCAGGGGTGAGGTTTTGAATCACAGACGCAGTTGGCGAAGAACTCACACGTTGAGGTTGGATGTATGTGTGCAACTCAGATGTTGGCCTGGTCAGGCCTGGCGACCGTTGTGAGGGGCCACACTCCCGTATACTGCGAGAGTCCCATGTTGCCATGCGATTGGAGGATATACTACACTCCCTGAAATCATCAGTGGATGCCATGGCCCCTGGGTTTGGATGACGATGTTCCGCTAGAAACGGGTTGTTGTCCACATCCATGTTTGTTGGAGGGAGGATACTATCCTGCTTTTACTTTGTTCCCGCAGGTTCCACAAGCCACTCCAAACGGAGCTTTGGACTACGGGAACTACTACAGCACTTGGGCCCCTTGCCGCAGAACATCACGAAACACAAACAGATTGTGTACGTTATGTGTGTTACATTATTGTATAACAGATATAACAGCCTCTTTATGCTTATGATTGTTCATATATAAATGTATGACCTTCTATCCCTTGACGGTTGGAAGCATCAGAGCTGGCTCGGCAGCCTTTTCGGGTCAAGGAATGGTATCTTGGGCCCTGGTGGACGCAGTCCGGGAGCTGCGTTTCTGGTCCACCTCGTCGTCCAGCAGTTGCCCCTGGGGAGTGGTCATTTTGTGCGGAGTGATCCTAAGCTGCTTTTGTTGCGGAATTGGTTTCATCCTGGGATCCATCGTGTTCTCATCTCCGATTCGCAAATTCCTGTGCCAAGTGCTGCAACTCCTTTGTGCATCCTGGGCTGGGCAGAATTTTGGCTTGGATCACCGGGGCCGCATTGCTGAGTATCGTCGAAACTAGTGCATGTCATCCGAAGCAGTCGAATCAATCACTGTTAGGCTGGCAGGACTGGAACTGACGATCACAGCACGACCGATCTCATCTGGACCTTCAGCAGTTCAAGATCATTCCCAGCGTGGCATCCATCGCGTCTCAGTCTGCCACGCCTTCCCCAGCCAGGCTGAGGCAGAGGCATACGTGGCAGGCGCTGGGGAACCATGGCCTCAGCGCAGGGAAGAGTGAGGACGCCCTTGACGGGCGATGGGATCCGAAAGCTTCGGGCCGATGCGTCAGAAGCCTTAGTGGTCCCAGCAGTGCATGTTCTAATTCAAGGCGCAGAGCCACCGGATCACAATCTGTTTTTGGCTGGCCTTGCATCAGTGCGAGAGAATGGTTTCATGTTAGTCATCCCGGTTGCAGAGCTTGTCCACCAGGCTGTGGTAGATTTAGAGCCCGAGGCTGGCACAGAAGATGGTCCTATGTTTTTTCTGGAAAGATTTCGTTGTTGAACACCAGAGGCAAAGCAGTCGGAGAGTGCGATGCCGAGCTAGTCGATCTGCCCTGGGGTTTTGCAGCTTGCCTTTACCCAGCTGTTCAGTTCCGTGGCGCTATGGCGCAGCAGTTCAAAGTGCTAGGGTTTATGACCGAGGCGGGCTCAGCAGGCAAACCGTCTGCAGAGTCAGTGGCCGCTTTGGCCCGCCAGTGGATCGACGACATGGATCCCCAGACTGCTCAGGAGTATCTCAGTGCCGAAGAGGGGCAGCCCATAGATCCAAACGATCCAGACATCATTGCTCAGCTTCAAGCTCGCATCATACTTCGTGACTACTTGGTACTTGAGGCTAGCTGAGCTGTGACAAGTAACTTGAAGTTGCACTATAAGTTCTTTAAGTTATGTTATAAGTTCTATAAGTTCACCTTCTAACTTATAAGTTCGATAAGTACCGGGGTCCTACTTATGGTACTAAGAAGTAACTTATGAACTTATAGTACTTATGTTGAGGCTACTTATCTCTACTTATTTTCTACTTATTTTTGGCTATGTTTAGCTAATTTCTACTTATTTCTAGCTATTTCTAGCTATTTCTTGCTAATTTCTACTTATTTCTAGCTAATTTCTACTTATTTTAAACTATAACTGCGACTATAACTTCAACATATTACCCAATGGTTTTTAGCTAATTTCCATTATTTTGTACTTCTGTCTGGCTAATTCCTATCCTATGTTCCCTCTGTTGTCACAACCAGTCAAACAAATAGATATGTTTGGTGCGCAAGCTTCTGAATGCATAACAACTTCTAAATACAAAGCAATTATTTGAATATGTCTGGCTTGTATCTGGGGGAGTGGGGGGGTGCATCTGAATGTATCCTGATGTATCCTGTGTATCTGGCTTGTATCTGGGGTGGTGTATCTGAATGTATCCTGATGTATCCTGTGATATCCTGTGTATCAAGATACGCCAGGATACATCAGGATACACGAGGATACATTCAGATACACTAGAAACTCGTGAGGCTGAGCGTCCTTTCGGCCGCTATTAGCGTCGCCGCGGTGGGAAGAACTTGGCCCACTACCAAAAGTGGGCCACTCAGCCGAAGAAGTACGGCTGAGAGAGAAAAAGGGAGAAAAAACGCTTCTCCTCAAACGCTCCAAAACAAACCAGCGGCCTAATGGCCGCTCTTTTTGTTGCACATAACATGTCCTGTATATAGGAAAGTTTATAAATACCAAACAACAGATCGGAATTTTTATAAAGCTAATGTAATTTTGCAAAAAGTGCTTTTTTCATATTTACCTGTTTCCAATGAAATGATGAATTTCTACTTATTTCTAGCTAATTTCTACTTATTTCTAGCTATTTCTAGCTAATTTCTACTTAATTTCTAGCTATTCCTAGCTATTTCTAGCTATAAGTAACTTATGTTATAAGTAGCATAAGTTCACTTAATGTACCTCAGCTAGCCTCAAGTACCAAGTAGTCACGAAGTAGAACTGGAGTCGGAAGTGAAGCGCAGCCAAACCACAGTACCACTGCTTCCCAGTCGCAGTGTAGGGACTCCGAAGCATGGTCCAAAGGCTGCGGGGTTGTTCCAGGGCGGGCCGACGAACCTGTCAGCTGCGGATTGGGCCAAACTCAAGACTCTTGCAGGGTCCGCACCTCCCAGAGTTGCATCAGCAGAGCATCGACGACCGCCTCCTCCCCCAGCCGTCCAAAGCCAGGAGTCTCTGTACGTGGACTTGGAGCGCGAGGCAGTGGAGGAGGACTTGGGACATCAGGTCGACCCTCTACAACTGTTAGCTCAGGACCCCAGTGCCGATCCGATCCAATCAATGCTTCTGGCCTCCTTGCAGCAGAATCAGATTTTGTTGCAAAAGTTGGTTGGCAGCCGGACGAACGACCCTGTTCTGAAGGCTCTGGGCGGAGGAGGATCGGACAGCGCCTCCGCTGGGTCATCAAGCGGCGTGCGCGGTTGTTTGGCCAGGGATGTTTTCATCCGAGCAGTTCAGGACCTGCCGACGGTGGCAGCAGTGGTTCGTGCTGCAGCCATCAAAGAGCTCGGCCTGAGCCCTGGCACCGAGGACTCCAACCTGTTGAGGAAGTACATGGAGCGAAGGATCCCCTTGGCCGACCACAATTGCTTTTGGATTGAGATTGAGTTTGAGGATGAGCTGTGTTGTGGTGGCTGGAATTCCATCTTTTTCACCAGCTGGCCAATAGTGCACAGCCCGCGCGGGAGATCTTGAGTCTGCAGGCCAAAAGGGATATATATATATATGTCTTAATGTATTATTTGTTGTAATCGAATAGTTCTGAATAGTGTTTGTAGTTGATGATGATGATGATGATGAACACTGCACGGGGGCATTGACGGCTGTTCTGCGGTGTGGGCTACTCAATAATGTATAGTATATTTGAAACTACACACACTACATACACAGGACACAACATATAGGGAAGCGAGGAATGGACAGTGCAGGACAGGGTTGAAATGAAAAGGACAGGAAAGAAGAGGAATAACAATAGGCAACAAAGGAAAGACAAGCAGAAGACAGGAAACATATTCAAACAACAACAAACACAAAGAACCATATATATAATTTGGTAGGGAAAAGGTTTCTTACAAAATGATATCCTATATAATGAATCGGCGGCAAATGCACTGAGGTTTTAACACACATCACCTCGTACGAAAGTAGATTCTATCTACTCCAGGATGTGTATATGTTTGTTCTACCCGACCGTGCAGTGATGTGTGCGTACCTCTTTGTTCTCCCAAGCTCGTGTGTGGTTTCCTTCTCTAAAGATCACCCTGCCTGGTGTTTATTTTACAATTGTCTGTTTCATCGCCCTGCAACCACGATCCCAGTCAGGCTGAATTGATAATCATCAGCCACCTACAACAAAGTCTCCATCGGGAAAAAACCACATGGATTCTATCATTTGAATCTTGCATTCTTCATTATTCATCATTCTTGGAAAAAACTTGCACGTGATATTGTGTGTATGTGTACAAGGTGTTGAACTGTTTTGTTTGCTCGTCCGCCATACGTCGGCTTCTCCCACCCACCCACCCACCCATCCGCCCACCGGCTTCCGTCAGGCCGACCCGGCAGTCTTCCAGCGCGTGAGCGCGGAGTTACGCGATCGACATTTGGCCTGGCAAGCGAAAGCCCCTCACCTCACCGAGTGGTGGCCGGCGGTCTTCCATGCAGCAGACGAGTTCACCGGTCGGGGCTGTTGATTGTTGTTGTTGTTGTTGTTTTTTTTAGGTGGCGATTTGACCGAGAGGAACATGGGGGGGGTGGGTCGGAATTGTTGATGATATAGGACTTCAGAAAGCACCTCCCCAAAGAAGGTGTGTTGTTGGGTTGTGGGGTCGGAGGAGATCGGAAAACAAGCGGCGTGTCCCCCCCCAAAAGCCCCAAAAAGATGGTGTTTTCATGTTCGGAGAGATCCCCAAGACATCCCATCTCTTCATGGGGAGATCCCAAAGGTTGAAATTAAGGGGTTGAACCTGGACCCTCCAAGGGGTGTCCAATGGACTACCCCACACTACCTATAGGCTTCCATTGGGCACCCTTGGAGGGTCCTGGAAGAAAGGGTTTGAGGCTGACGCCCTATGCTGTTTGCAGCTGCACAGGCCGAGGTCGGCCCTAAGAGGTCGGGTGAGGTTGTAGCATGCATGCATCGATCGACTCCACCGTGCCGGAAAACGGTGGGAGGTCGGTGCCAGGAGGCGGCGGACATAACTCAATGAGGTGGGTTTCCTTTGTCATGTTTCTATACCAGCCCCTTAGAGGTTAAGGGGTGTCCATTAATAGCCCCTTAGAGGTTAAGGGGTGTCCATTAACCAGTCCTGGTATATATTAAATATGTCATAGCAGTTCCAAAGGTCCCCAAGTGAGTAGATGTTCTGGACACCCCCTACTATAGGCCCTAGACCCTCGAAGTGTATGTTCATCTTATGTCGCTCATCATGGAAAGCAGGTTGATGATCATGATCACGTCATTGATGGCATCTTTCAATACCCATTCGGGTGGACAGTAGGTACAAATGGTACATATTATACAGATACATCTGCCAGGACCCTCAAGGGGTGGTTAATGGACACCCCTTAATGGCTAAGGGGCTATAAATAGACACCCCTTGGAGGGTCCTGGTGAAAATATCATGGAGTTTCCATCTTCACCAATTCGCTTTCCCTCCCAGTCCCGAAATCAACTCCCTCCCCACCAAACATCGAAAAACCCGCCCCGAGACCGTCTCGCGTTCCCTCATCCCTGCCCCGTTCTGCCGCTCGGTGCTCGGTCGGTCTCAGAAGCAGCCGTGGAGCGGAGACTACGCACCGATCACTCCCTTGGATCCGTGTCTCGGTCGCCGGTCGCGCGGGTCGCGGGTCTACGCGCCGCGGACTCGCGCCGTCCCGAACCTCCGTTCGGAGCGAGCAAGCGAGCTCGGCGTAGGGGGGTTGGACCGGAGCGACCCGGAATGCGACCCGGACACCCGCAGCAACAAAACCCGCCGCGCGGCGCGAAGCGGCGCGGAGTGGAAGAGAATGGGACGGACAAATCACACAAAATGGCCAAATAGTGCCAGACTTCGATAGGAGATCCATGAAAAGGTCGGTAGAGGGAGCTTCCGAAGTGTAACCAACAGACTCGGGGACCTCGCCGCATCCAGAGGTGGACGTTCTTCGCTCAGTCTTGGGTCGGTCTAGGTCCAGGCATCGGTTTTCGGACATTGGCGAGAGACTCCGAATCACAGCACGGATCCAAAATACTACGTCTCAGACCCCCAAAACCCGTGCGGTCTCCCCTCCGCGGTGGCCGACTTCTCAGCTACTCCGAGCTCCACGCCACCGGGTCGACCGGAATGCGACCGGGTCGACGGCCGTGCATGGCACGACCGGACAGCCAGTAACGCCGCCAGGAACAACCATGTCTACAAGTTCTGACGATTCCAACGCGGCACGCGGAGACGGGGGATGATGGAACGCTGCGCTGGGCCGCCGTGGTGGCCAACAAAAAACAGCTCGAGTCGTCCTTGTGTGTTTTTTCTTGTGTGTGGGTGGGTGTCAACGGGTCACAAAGCAAGACTAGAACTCGCACGTGACTATACCATGAAACAACATCTCACAGCATGTTGCAAAACACCCATTGTGAAGGCATCGGAGAGCCTTTGTGATACGCTTGGATACCGGGATACCCAATTAATTTACAGTAATGGATTCAAGATGATTCAAGTCTTGCAATGGAAACACTCAAAATATATAGCAATTCATTATATATAAGGATTATAAGGCAAATAGTACCAAGTATAGTACTTAGTATCGTACTTATAGTCCATTACCTGGATCCACCATGTGGTGGTCTTTGCCTCGGTTTTTCTGGCCTTTTTGAGGGCGAGGAGGTCCAATCCTCGCTCCCGTTGTGCTTCTCCGGTGCCGAGGTGTGCATTGAATTCGTCTTCTACCTGCTCATGGGCCTGGCTGGATATGCGTCCTGGCAAAGTCAGAGCACGAGCCAGACATGGGTGGATTTGATGGGTGAATATAGGATAAGATAGGTATATGGTGATTTCTGTCCTCCATGTTTTAAAACCCCTCTATACGGAGTGTTCCACACCCCTATGTATATATTCCAGTCCCATGGAGAGTTTGGGCCATGAGTGACTTGCGACTCTTCCTCTATCATGTGATACCGGCGACCTCCGGTTTCACTGCGGTTTCACCAGCTGTGGAAGTTGGTCCAAAACTTCAGCCATCTTCATCTTCATCTTGCAGGGTCCCGGTTGGAGAACATCAGTGGAGAATCCAAAGGAATTCTTGAGAAATCAGCGGAGACTGACTCTGTCGTAACTTTCCCAGAAGGAGTTACTTGAAGTTCTGGGCACTCTGGCGAAAAGAATAGCATGCAAGGAGGTATCCGGCGCACAAGGCAGTCTTATTCTCAAGGCTTGAGAAGGAGTACTGAACATAGTTCGTGACGCAACAGGTAGTGTAGTTTGGGCAGTAGTAGTCGATTAGAAGACCTGGCAGCCTCAGCCTCAAGAGCCCCTGTGGAGAGCCATGGGAGAGTATGGTGATTTAAGAGACTATGCGGCTTATTGCACATGCATTTTTTGGAATTTTGGTTCTCATCCATGTTCTCAGATGTTCTCACTTACTTTGTGTTGTATGTTTACGTATGTCCCCTCAGAAACCTGATTTGATGATCCTTCTTTTTCAGACCCCACGGGACGAGCGACCACCGGCTGCCCCTGTTCGAACTCTTTGTTGCCTGCCATGCGTAGTACCCACGGCTTCTTCCTTCTCAGGTCTCTTTCCGAGGGTATACGGAGCAGGATTTCATCCTCAACTATCGCAACGATGACATGACAATGTTCGTGGTGCGTTCCCTGGCTCCGCCACGGGGGAGGTCGGACTGGAGGCCTCGGTCCGGTCCGGTCAGGTGTCGTGAAGGCGGCAGGTCGGGTGGACTGGTCGGGTGAACCGTGAAGGGTCGTGGGTCACGACCCATCCCCAGGTGTTCCGGGATGGACATGGATTCCTGGATGGAAATCCACTTGGATCGTCAAATCGCAAAGCAGAGCCAAGCAGCAGCCATTCAAGCCTGCAAGGACACGACAAGATGTTCGGTTTCAAGGGCTAGGACTCTGAGAAGTTGTCTTCTCATACTATAGTTATCCTAACTACAGATTGCGGTGTTCTCAGCCCTTTTGAGCCCAGGCTGCGTCTACGGCATCGTGGTTTGCTTGGGTGCTCCCATCAATCTCTCGCCCGCGGTGACTTGGTGTTCACCGCTCAAGCATTTGAGGACTGGACAAGATCATACAATAAGATCTATGGTTTGAGCCGGTCCCCCTTGTTGGTTCAGAATGGGCAGAGGTTCCCGGGGTGGCAGCTCCGCTGAAATCGATTGATTCCATTCCCTGTAGTCCGTGGTCAAGGGCTATTAATGAGGAGATGAATCATCATCATCATCATCATCATCATCATCATCATCATCATCATCAT